GATAATTATATAATATTAAAATCTAGTTACAGAGTTTTACATTTTATTTAATGTTTGATGTAAATTTTTGTACAATATGTTGTATATAATAAAAAGTTGAGTTGTGGTCTGTTTTGATAACATAAAGGTACGTATATATAATAAGATATGAAATTGTTTGATTAAGTTATATAATGATTTCAGTGAGGTTGGTTGGTTGAAATGAATGTATTTTAATTGGTATTTGATATCAAAGTTATTTGTGTATAATGAGTATAACACTAATATAAGTTGGTTAGTGTTGATGACAAATGTTGAATATACGTTATCTTTTTGTGATGAGTGAATATAAGATTAATTGTAAGAATTGTGAGTCATTAGTATTGGAGATGAGAGTGAAATTTGAAACGGTATAGTGTGTTTAAATGTTTTCGAAAGTGAGTGTAGTAGTTGTGATTTTAAAGTTATTTTTAGGAATGTTTCTTTTTATTATTATGTTGTTTATAATGAAATGGTTTTGTTTAAATAACTTTTTGCGTAAAATTTTGCGTTTTTTCTTACCTGTCTTATTTTGAGGTGGAGCTGTTGATGTTGGTGCTGATGTGTTGAACATTGTTGTGGTTATGATCCCTGTAGTTGAAGTTGAAATGACTGATGTTGTTGTGGTTGAAGTTCCTGTAGTTGAACTTGAAATGGCTGATGTTGTTGTGGTTGAAGTTCCTGTAGTTGAACTTGAAATGGCTGATGTTGTTGGTAAGGTGGAGGTGCTTGGAAATATTGTTGTTGTAGTTGATATTGGTGTGGTATTACTTAGTGATCGATGTTCGATTACTATGAGATCTTGTAATGCTAGTTCCGTGTGTTGGTTTATTCGAATGGATGGTATTTGATGTTGATCAAATGTGAAAGGTATATTTAAAGCAATATATTTACCCATTTCTAATATAAATGGTCCACAGTCGTAGTTATTGGTCTGGAAGGGTGTTTTTTTGTATGAGATGGTCCACTTCGATGGTGGTTGATTGTAGTTGATTTCCCAGTTTATTAGGAAGTTTTTTATCAGCAACATGAGTTTGTTGTGATTGTTGTGATAAGTATCATAGCACTCTATTGATTTGTTTTTTGTTCTGATAGTTATCAAGATCCAGTGGTTGTTGACATTTATTGGGAGAAATATTAGGTTGTTGTTGACATTTGTTGTTTCAGACCAGGATTGGGCTCCTAACATCCCTTCTATGGTGTGTTCCATTGGAAAGTTCACATAGAATGTGCACAAGTTTTTGTCAGAGTTTTTGGCGATGATTTTGAAATATTCCTTGATGATTGTGGCATCATAAAATCGTGTGTAAAATTGGTTGTTCATGGTGAATCTTGTTGTATTTGTTTCTTGCGTGTATGGTTCGAAGTTGAGAAGGATACTGGAGTTTGTTTAGCTTTCGTTCATCAGGGTCAGTTGATTTTTGTATCGGATTGTTCTTATGATTTTCGATCGTTTTTTTTTGAGGGGGAGATATTATTGGGGGTAATATATAAAGGGTGGAGTTTAAATATTGGTTTTTTCTTGGTATAAATTAAGTGTTGTTAGAATGTTTATTGGGTGTCGAGTATCGATTCTAGCATGATGTTAATGAGTTATAATTATTATTGATGTGACAGTTTTGGACTGATTTGTGTTTATTTTAGCGTGTATATGAGTTTTGAGGGGTTAAAATATGATATTGTTTTCGATAGGTAAAATGTTTGTGTATGTTATCTTTGAGATGTTTTGGTAGAAGAAAGAAGGAGTGCAAGGAGTATGATATATTATATTGTTGTGAGGGTGTGAGGGATAATTAGTAAATAAGTGTGTTTCTGGGATCACTTAAGTATTGTATGATGATTCATAGAATTCGAGTGGATAGAAAGATATGAATATATCCGTATATTTAGAAGTTTGTTAATGTGATAAAGGTTATTTGTGTTAACTTTAATTTGATTGTTGTTGGATTTATCCTGAAAATTTTTATTTGGTGCAGTTTGTGTTTTTTTGTTGTTACAATGTTGGTTGACAGTGCATTAGGTGTGCTGTATTATATTATTAGCTTAGCTTATGGTTTTTTATTCTAATAAAACGTTTTTATTATTTATTATTTGTATTTTGTAAAGTAGTGTGTATTATTAACTTAGTTTTATGAAAATCCTAATTGCAATATGTGAAGAGTTGATAAAATATGTTAGTTTCTAATGTGCGTAATGTTTTTTTTTTTTTTTTTTTTTTTTTTTTATTTTTTTTGTTTTTGGTGAAATAAAATTAGGTACATTATAGTAAGGTGTTGTATTTTTAATTAGCTTATTTACTTATGTGAGTTTTGTTTAAGGGTTAGTGTATAATGTGCTTAAAAATAAAAATAAGAGATAATATAATCATGTGGTTTTAGTGATTATGTTTTTTTTGTTTTTTTTTGTAAGGACTATATATTAAGGGGAGAAAAAAAAATGTAGATTTACCTATTACTAATTGATAGAAGTTTGGAAAGGTGGTAATTCTAGTTGTATATAAATAGTTTGCTTATTTGGTAGTATAAGGATTAATGTCTAGTGTGTTCACGAAATTAAGAAAATATGTTAATTTTTTTTTTCTATTTATTTTTTGTTTTATCTGTTTTTGTGTTTTGTGTTTTTTTTATTTTTATTTGTATAAATATATTTAGATACAATTATTTATATATTTAGTGTACTAAAAATAGTTAAAGTATTGAAAAGATAGTGGTTCTAGTTGTAGGTTACATATTATATATTTTGCTTATTTAATTAAATGTTTTATATTATGAGTGTTAGTGTTTAAAAAAACTTAGTGTAGGTAATGTTAAATTTTATATATATTTTTTATTTTATTTATTTTATTTTTTATTATTTTTGTTACTTTTATTGTAGAATATAAGTTTAAGTATATACTAATAATTAATAATGGTTTGTAAAAGTATTAATTGATTGATTATTATGTATATACACTATACAGGTTAGTGGCCTAATGTACTAAAGTTATTATTTTTGTTTGTATTTTGCTTAAGGTTAAGAATTAGGATTAGTATTAGGGTATAGTATTTCTAATTATGTACATTTGCTAATTTATTGAGTGTATGTTACATTGTAGAAAGGTGTTTAAAAATGCTTAAACTATGTTTTTTGTGTTTTTGTTTCTTTTTTGTGTTTTATGATTAAGTATAATGTGTATAATGATGTGTAAAATTTTAGTTATATACATTTAATAATATTATTAGTTTTAAATTAAAGATAGGTATTGTATTTATTAGTAGTATTTACATTTCCCAGTGATTTATTTTCTATATATTTACATTTAATAGTTATAATAGGTGATAATGATTAACTGTATAATCTTATAATAAAATCGTATAATACAATTAACTATAATATATGATTAATTATAATATAATTGAGTTAAGTATTTATATATATATTAAAGTTAGGGTATTATATTATGGATATTTAGTATTCTAGTCACTAAATTTATTTATGATTTTAAATTTAATTTTTTGTCGTTTGTATTTTTTTTATTTTTTTTATTTTTTTTAAATTTTTTTTTTTTATTATTCATTTTTTATATAAAAGTTTTTTTGATTATTTTATTAATATTGTTAAGTGTTATATTGATATTTACAAAAAAAAAATGGTCGTTGTTATTTAAGGAAATTTTTTTGTTTATATACATGTTCCTTTCTATATTTTAGAACCTATTAGTGCTATATAGGTGTGTCGTATGTGTATTTTACATTTTGTTGATGTTTATTTTGTTAAATTGGGTTATGACTTGTCTACAACATGGACAAACGTTATTCCTTAGATTTATAATGCAGTTTAAGTGGAATGCATGATTGCAATCAGTGACTATCAATGGTGTTTGTGATTCTAGGCATATTGGACATATCGTGATTTCTTCTGAGGTCGGTATAAATTCTTCGAAATATGGTAAAAAGGGTATTATTGTTACGTTGCGGTCTGTTCTTAGCAATACGTTATTACGGGGATTTATGTGATTCAATGTGAGGAAGGTTAATTTGTTGTATTTGCATGATAGTTTTCTAATTTCTTTATTAAGAGTCAGCGTTGTTATTTGATTGTATGCACAATCTAATTCGTATAATTTTTTGTTGAGTTGTAGTTTAGTTAGTTGATTGTTGTTACAGAGTAATATTAATAGATTTTTGTTTAAATTTAATTTTGTTAGTTGATTGTTGTTGCAATTTAATACTGATAGATTTTTGCCTAGGTTGAGTGTTGCTAGGTTGTTGTTGTTGCAATATGCTTTTTTTAGATTTTTGTTTAAAGTTAGTTTTGTCAATTTGTTATGTGAACAATTTATTTCTATCAGATTCTTTGTTGTGGTTATGTTGGTTATTTTGTTATTTTCACAGTTTAGTGATGATAAGTTGTCATTGAAGATTATGTGGTTTATGTTGTTGTTTTGGCATATGAGTTCTTTTAATGACGAGCATTTTGATACATCAAGTTTTGTGATGTTGCGGTTGTATATTGTTAGCTTTTTTAATGTATTGGATGATATTACTATGTGTGTATTGGGTTCTATGGGAAATTTAGAAGTTATTATTATTTGTGTACAGTTAGTGTGATACATATGCATTGTGATTCGTCTTTTTGTGGTGTGTTATGTTTTAATTTTTAGTTTATTTTACTTCTATTTTTTCTTGACTTATCTGTAAATGCAGGAAAAAAAAAAAAATATGGAGAAAGATATATATATATTTATAAGTAGTAATAAAAGCTTAAATAATATGAATAGAGACAAGGGTAAGAGCGCATTTGTTGTGTTGTGTTTTGTGATGGTATTTTTGTTTTGTATATTGATTATTTGTAATTAGAATATGTCGTTGTTGTTAGTATCGTAGTGGATAAGACTTAAAATTGTATGTTTCATGTTGAGTCTACTGTACTAGTTGTTTTTTCTATTGCTGTAAATTCGAAATCTATTATTATTAAATTAATTTTATCCATTCTGATTAGAATTATTTTGTGAGACCTGGAATTTCAAAGTTTAATAATTTTTTGCAAATGATTTTCATCTTTTTTGAACGATTTTTGGAGAGTATATTGTCTTTGGTTATGTCAATTGATCTTGTTAGAATTCTTGTTACGAGTGTTTGTGGTGTGATGTCATAATGTGTGATGTATATTCTGCCCATTTCATTTGGTATTACTGCGTTTCGAAATTGAATGACTTGAGGAGCTTTTACTATGAAAAACCCGTAGTTATAAAATGTGTGAGCTGATATTACGCGACCTAAACATTGACTATTGTTGTCTATGGTATAGTATTCTTGTGAGAGATTTTTTATCCAGTCATGTTTTGGAATAAGTGGATTTATTATACACGAGTCATTGAAGTAGAGAGTTAGTTTTCTGTGGAATCTTTGTGAATAATTCATTGAAAGAAAATATTTGTTTGAGTTGTTGACGTTGAAATATGTGTCATAGTATAAATTTTGATTTTGAATATTGAAAGTTCGAGATGCTTTAGGTATTTTTTTGAATTGTTTTCGGTCTTTGCCGAGATGTCCAGTCATTATTAAGAATACTGGGTCATGTAAAAGTCCAGCTTTCATGATTAAAGTTGCAGAAAGTGCTGTTATATCTATAATTTTTTCTAGTAAATGTGAAGGTTTGATGTTATTAATATTCCACAGTTGCGTGATTAAACAAATAAATATTTCTGATAAGAATATAGCACGTAGGTAAGTTTTTTTGTTTAAATTTAGTGATTGTGCTATTTTCTCTAAGTTTTTTATCGTTTGTAGAGAATTACTGATATTTGTGGTGTTTTCATTTAAGCATATTAGGTAGTTGTTGTTAAGTTCATCAGTGTAAATTGCGTGTTTGATATTATTATATCGCTTGCCATGAGTGATAGCTATACTATGTTTAAAATATTGTATTAATTGTAGATGTTTATAGTTACGTTTTATTGTATTAGTTGTGTAGTTAGTGCCATAGTAAATGTTGTTTGTTGAATGTGTCCTGCATGTGTCGATTGTGGTGATTATGTTAGGTACTTTGCTGTTTCTGTGGTTTACAGTTGATGTAGGTGTCAAAGTTGTGCTCCAAAATGTGGTTGTGTCCGTTTTTCTAGTGTCATTTCGAGATTCTGGGTGGCGTTTTATTTGAATTTCGATCATTTTGTGAGTATGATATTCCATGTTTTGTTTTCTAAATTTTATATTTATGATGTAATTAATTATAATGAAATGTGTTGATTATTGAAATAAAGAATGAATTGTGGTATATGTGAGAAGTGACAATTTCTGTTATGTAAGAAGACTAGATTGTTGTATTATTTGTACCTATATTTAGTGTTCTATAAGGTTGTATTGGTGATAGTGTTGTGAATGTATGACTAGTTTACATTGATCTCCTAGGTACTTGGTAGTGGCTCGTATTAGTTTCAAAGCGGAATGATGGGTAAATTTGTTGGGGTGGTGAAATGTGTTGTTCTTGAACAGTATTTAGTGTGTGATTATTGTTGTCATTTGTGGATTGCTCGTCTTGATTATTTGAATTTTGATTGATGTCACGTGTATGCGATTTGTGCATGAAGTATTGCGTCATGCTAGCGAATATTCCAGCTAAAACTTTGAAGCTGCATCCAAATGTTTGGTAAAGTATGGACATATTGATTGTTGTGTTTAGACATATCATTATGATTTTCCATGCAACAAACAAGCCTAGTAAACCGGATATAAAGTTTCCGAATCCTACGAACCATCCCCACATTTTGTATAGTTTTTCTTCAACTAATCTGCTTATGATTTGTTCGTCAATGAAAGGTTTTAATTTTAAACCTTGATCAAATGTATTGTAGCCCATAGTTTGCCTGGCTAAGTTACTTTGAGCTGCGTCTACTTCTTGGGGGAATAACAAGTGTTTTTGTAATGCATTAATCATGTCACTAGAATATAAGCCTGCATTCATTAAGTTTTCTGGGCTTCTGAATGACCAAGTCCAGGCTGTTTGTGGTTTTAAAATTTGTGGTATTTTACCAAGTCCTAATTCGTTGTATTCAGGCGACATGCTTATCCATTCGCCTTCCATGAGGTATCCTGTTGGCAGTATTATAGTGCAGTCGATTTCGGTTCCGTATTTCTGTAATGTGTGTGTTTTTGGTGCCATAAATAATTTTTGTTTGTTATAAATAACCGGAAGTTCTTGGAAGCATACTTTGTGGCTCCTGTCTAGTTCAACATCGACAGGTTTACATTTTAATAAGTATACTATTTCTCCAGATTTTAATGCAGTAAATCCGGGTCCTTCACCCATTGCGTATGCAAATTCAGATAGGCTGTAGGATGCTAATGAAAGTTTTTGCATAAGTATTTTTCTTTCTAAATTGCATTGTTTGGTGACTAGATCAAGATACATTGACGTTGAGGATGCCTGAATTATGTTTTGTATGTATACGAATTTTGTGTTGATATATGCCATAAGGTCTGTGTTGAAGGTAGATATAGGTTTCGTATGGAAGTAGTGCATATATGCTGGGTCGGTTAGTATTATAAGTCTCGGGTGTTCTGTTTGAAAAACCTGTATATTACATGCGTAGTCAATGTTTATTTTACGAAGAGCAAAAGCGATGTTGTCAGATTCAACCAGGAATGTTTGTATTTCGGAGGTGGAGTTCATTGACTGTTTAGATGTAATGAGTGTAGCTGGGCCCTCGTATAATGTGTCATATTTATCTGTAGTGCAGTCTGTTTTATGGTTATTCTGCCATACGATCTCCCCTTTATGTGAGTCGATACCATAAGTGTCCGATAATTTTAAGCGTGTGCCAGTGGGTAATATTAATACGTTGTCTATACTGTTGGCGGTGGCGGTGCCTTCAGACAGCTGTATTTTGTATTTTGCTTGTACTAGTACGTTGTTCCACTCGTATTTATCGGTTCTAAATGTTTCACCGTAGCAATCTCCTTCGTGGTTGGCTGTACCCTTAATTAGTTCAGAGAAGTACATTGTTTGGTTTATTTTCAAGTTGTGTGCTGTGATTCCCGGGTAAAATGTGTATGATCGTTTAACGTGGGCATCTGCGCACATAACGGCACCAGTTTGTATAAGTTCTGTGAAGTATCCGTGACCTACTATTTGGGCGTCGTCAAATCCCGCACATTTTGTTATGATATAATCTGCTACGATATAGCATGCTTGAAATTGTATTTGTTTTGATTCTGTTTTTTGTAGTAGTTTGATCATGTGAATTCTTTCTATTTTATTTGGTAAAGGCGGTGAACAGTAATCAACGTTCAGTGTGTTAAATGATGTTATGTTAAGTTTTGTGCCCGAGCAATCATATGCGATAAAACTGTTTGTGTGTTGTATTGCGTAAATTAATATTAATAAAATAGTATAAAATATTTTTTTGGGTTGAAACATTGTGTGAACTGTGTATAATTTTATAAGTTATTGTTAGTTACCGCTGTCTGTGCTTTCTTTGTCTTCGATTGTTTCTGTGTTTTCTCTTTGAAAGTATGGCTTCAATCGTCTAATGTGAACGATATCTTTAGTTAGTTTGTTATTTAATATAAGTTCGATTATATAGTTTACGTCATTAATTTTTGAGATAACTTTGTACGGACCTCTATATTTAGGGGCTAATTTGGAGGTTTTATTTGGTTCATTAAATGGAAATTTCACTAATACTAATTGATTTGGTTCATATGTTGTAAGTTTGTGTAGTTTGTCGTGGTTTGTTTTTTGTGTTTCTTGGGCTTTTTTTATGTATTCTGGGATGCTCTGCCTTACTTGTTTTAATTCTTCAAGTGATTTTTTTATGTCATATGATAAATTTTCAGGTATTATTTGTATATCTATACCTGTATTGGCATTAAAGCCATGTAATAAATAATAAGGACTATAATTTGTGGATATTTGAGGTGAATTATTGTAACTGAAAATTATGTATGGTAAATAAAATGACCACCTTGATTGGTTGTTATCTTTAATATAATGTTTTATAGCCTGACATATCACACCATTTATTCTTTCTGTAAAACCTTGTGATTGTGGTGCATAACTAGACGAAAATATTTGTTTGATGCCGAAATTTTGGCAAGTGTCGTTCATTATTTTATTTTTGAAATGTAAGCCTCTGTCTGAAGTGAGGTATCTCGGGACTCCAAATTGTGTAATGTAATGTATTAGAAATTTCGCTACTGTGTTAGCATCAGATGATTTTGTTGCTTTTGCAATGACATATTTGGAACTTTGGCACGTAAAAACTAGTATGTATTTTTTGTTATTACTAGAAGGTAGGGGTCCTAGAAAATCAATTGTTATTCTGTCTAGTGGTTTGCACGTGGTCAATGGAATAGGTAGGTTGTAAGTAACCTGCTGGTTTTCCTTGTGCTTTTTTATTAATTTGGCATTGGTGACATGTTTTTATAAAAAGAGTGACATCTTTTACTAAAGTTGGCCAAAAATATTTTATTTGAATAGCTTTTATGGTTTTTGTGATGCCCATATGGGCTGCTAGTGGAGGGTTATGATGGGCAGTAATAATATTTTGAATTAAATTTTTTGGTATGACAATTGCATTATCTATATTTTGTTTAGGTGTGTGTCTTTTGAGATATAGTATTTGATTAGTTATGGTGTATCTTCTTGATATTTTTTTGTATTTATTTGTTGTGGGTATGTTATTTAGCGCTTTCATTATTTCGCTACAAAAATCATCGTGTTTTTGACTTTGTATTATATTTATTTCCGTGGGTTTATCTGTGTTTATATTGTGTATTGTTTCGACTTGATTAATATGTGTGTCATGCTCAAATATAACAGCGTCTATTATATTCATAATGTGTTCCCTGGATAAACAGTCAGCTACTTTATTTTCTTTACCAGCTTTATGTTTTATTGTAAAATCAAAATCAAGTATTTTTAAAGTTAGTCTGGCTATACGTGCTGACGGTATTTTCAAATTTTTATAATATTGTAAGCTAATGTTATCTGAATATACTGTGAATTTTCGGCCCCATAGATATTCTCGGAAGTAAGTAATACCAAATACTAAACCTAAAAGTTCCAAGGTTGTGGATGAATATGTTTTTTCCGAATCTAGAACTTTTCTTGAAGCGTATCCTATTGGTTTTAATTTATTATATTCGTCGGGTTGCTCTAGAACTGCTCCTAGACCGATTAAACTAGCATCAACGGTTAGGTAAGTGTCCTTATCATCAGAAAAATGTGCTATAACGGGTTCCGATGTTAGGATCGTTTTTAGTTTATTAAATGCCTCATTATGTTCATTAGTCCAAATTATGTGTTTATTATTGTCATGCTTGGTTAATTGGAAAAGTGGATTTGCTATATGTGAAAAATTCTTTACAAGTCTTCGATAGTAACTACAGAGTCCTAAGAAACTTCGAACTTGTTTAGCAGTTTTTGGTTGTTCAAAGTTGGTTATAGCTATTGTGTTTCTAGTCAGTGGTTTGATACCTTCATTGGATATTTGATGTCCTAGTAATTCGATTTTTTCAGCAAATAAAGTGCATTTTGCTGTTTTTAATGAAAATCCAAAATGACTTATTGTTTCAAAAACTTTTTTTAAATTTTTTAGTGCAGTTTCAAAATCTTGTCCGAAAGTCGCGAGGTCGTCGATAAATATTATTACGGATTTATATAGTTGTTCTGAAAATGCTTTATTTAGTTCTCTTTGAAATATGGCGCTAGAATTTTTGAACCCTTGTGGTAATCTGGTAAATGTCATAAGTCCGTGTACAGTAGTGAAAGCTAACATGTATTGGTCTTGAGCTTTTACAGGAACTTGAAAAAAACCCGAGTTTAAATCGATACAAGAGAAGTATTTAGATCCTTCCAAGCTGCGAAATAAGTCCATTGTTCTAGGTAATGGGTATTGGTCAGATTCTATAATGTTGTTGAGTTCTTTGTATGATACAACTAATCTATAAGAGTTTTTTTCCTTTTTTCGTACTAGAAATGCGGGTGAGGCAAAGTTGGATTTTGTGTGCTTAACTATGTTAGCCTGTATTAATTTATCTAGTTGTATTTTTAGTTCTTGTCTTTGAGAAGGGGAGACTCTGTGTGGTGGGTTGAATTTTGGTTCTTTAGAGTTTGGTTTTATTTTTATTTGGCATGGCTCAATGTTTGCAGGTTTTATGTTAATAGTATCGGTGGAAAATATATGTATGAATTGTTTTATTAAATTTATTGTTTGATTGTGTTGTTGTAATGTTATATGTTTCGATATATTTATTGGTGTTCCTTCGTTATCGTATATAGTTTCTCTGTCATGAGTGATTATTGTGTTAATAATTTGAAGTTCATTATTTTGTTTTGTGATATTCTTCTTATTTATTTCTAATTCGCATTTATCTTTTATGTGTTCTATAGAAATATAGTTTTCGGTGTGTATTATATTTGTTGGTACTTTATTTGATTTAGAGGTGTTTTTTATTATCGTGCCGGGACACCAGTGGGTTCCGTTGTTTATATTATATAATATTATGGGTGGTCTGAAGCCTGAGCCATATACGTAACCGACTTTGTTTTTATCGGAATATATATATGTGTCAAATCCGTAATGGTTTGCTATACTGGCTAATTGATCATCGTGCCACCAATAGTTAGGAAGGTCTGTTAGATTTAATAAATTTAATATTTTTGCGAGAGTAACTATTTTTTTAACTTTATTATCGTTTATCGCATTGGTTAGTGCATATAATCCACAATTGCCGTCTGATGGTACATTTTCCCCCATTTGATATTTCGAAAATATTTCAACAAATTTGGGTTTGTTAGGTTTTGTTTTATTAGTGTCGGTGATGCGGTTGTACGTATTTTTTATATTGGAAATTATATTAGTTTTTTTGTTGTTTACTGTGATAAGTGTATTACATATTAATATTCGTATATTTGTTTGGCTGAATATTTCAAATATCATGTTTTTTATTATTTCCCAGTCTAATTCGTTGTTGGTGATGTTAGTGTTGCATAAGGCTATGTGTTCGTATCCTTCTATGATAGCTGAATTTTTTAAGTTATATAAATTGTCAAAAATGTCTATGTAAGACGAGGGTGTGTCGTATTTATCTTTAGATATTAAATAATGTATTGTTCTATGTTCTGTTTCTATTGTGGTTATTTCACCTGGTATTAAGTCTAAATTGTCGAGTATGTGAGACATGTTTCCATATTTTTGTGTTAGTTTAGTAGATAGTTCTGTGTTGTGTTGTAAATCAGCAGAAATAGTGTGCGCTATGGAAAATTTTGTTTTTGTGTTTAAAATGTCAGTATTGGTTTCGGTGATGTTATTTGCTTGTGTTATATTTTTGTTTTCTATGTTTTTAATGTTTCGTTCAGTTGTTGTGAATTTGTTATTCATTATTTTTGTTTTAATGAATTTATTTAGAGTCATTGTTTGTTTTGTGTAATCTATTTTAGCTTTGTTATTTGCTAGAAATTCATTTCCCAAAATTATGGTACTGCTTAAATTTTTTACTACGCATACTGGTATAGAAAATGTTGTGTCTTCGATTTGTATGTTTATAGTGGCTGTGCCTATGAATATTAATGGTGTTTTATCTGGGCCTGATAGTTGGTATTTATTTGATGGAGTGATTAGTTTTGGATCTATTAAATCTGGGCGTATACAATTGATGTTTGCACCAGAATCGATTGTGACTTCAATATTTTCATTGTTTAAATTTGCTATTATGTATAAGGCGTTGGCTTTTCTATTTTCGTTGATTATTATGTGTATTAAATCAGTTTCTATGTTTGTTTCGTTTATTGTTTGTTGGTCAATTTGTTTTATATTTGTTTCTGGAGTTGAAGGGTAATGCAAATTTCCAGATTGGGCATTTGACCTATTTATTGGTTTTTTTGATTTGAGTTTATGTTTTTGGAGTACCTAGCAGTTATCAGCAGTGTGGTACCTTTTGTTGCATAAAGTGCATATTAATTTCCATTTACATTCTATGCTGGTGTGGTTATAATTATTGCAGTGTTCGCATTGGTTTTTGTTTTCAAAATTGCGGAAATTGGGATTTTTATTGAAATTGCTGTTATAGTTTGATGATTGTGTATAATTGTTTCTATAATTGTTGTATTTGTTAAAATTGTTGGTGTTAGGGTTTGTGTTATATTTATTATAATTTTGGTATTGGTTATTGGTTTTGAAGTTGTTATTTTTGTTGTTAAAATTCTGTTGATTTGGATATTGATAATTCATTTGAGTATGCCTTTGGTTGAAATTTGAGAATTTAGGACTGTTTGAGTTAGCAATATAATTGTTGTTAAAGTTTTCACTTAAATTTTTTATTATGTTTTGTAAGTCGGACATTTGTGTGGTTAATTGTTCTATTTGTTTTTTAGTTTTGTTGTCGTCTATTGCATTTATGTGTTCTTTGGTAATC